AACTGGGATATGTTGTTGAGATTCCCCCCAGGATGCTTTCCCCTGGCTGGCCATCCCCACCCATTATTCTACAGTGGCGAAGCATTTTGGTTTATTTCCTCTGTGGACATTTCCAAAGCCTACCATCCATTCTGAGAATCAAGGCCATGCACAGCCCAGCACTCCTTGCTTCAAATTGCTCAATATCCTCTTCATCCATTTTGGCTCATTTAAAGCCTCGAAAAAAGAGCTACAACATTGGAGGCAGGGTTCAAAGCCCTTTCCCTTGTCAATACTTCAATTAGCTTAGCATGTGCCCCCCACTTCATCTATTTCTCTTTCTCGTCCTTTCCCCCTATTTCGGATGTTTGCAATGCCACTGGAAGATTCGGTGACTTCTCCTGGTGGTGTACAAGTGTCTCGGTTCCCCTTAACAAGTCCTGGGCCTGAACTCCCTGCCACGCCTTGAAGGCTCCCGAATACGTTTTCCTTAATGAGGAAGTAAGGAAGTAAGGAGTGGAAGGAAGGAGGCAACCCTGGTTGCCCAAACAGGAAGTTGGTGAGAAGTGGAAAGTGTAGCTTGTGTGATGCTTGGGCATTTGTTGAACAAGATGTTCTCAATTTCCCAGAATGAAGATTCCGGAGGTGAAAACTAGGGATATTATTTTTTTTTTAAATCCTGATAGCTCCCCAGGAAGAATGTCCTTTTGTGTGACATTTGGCCCAATGCCCTGTCCCCACTCCAACCCTACCCCTACCCCCACTCTCCTCAGGCTCTGGCAAAGCCGGACCAGGGACTTACAATAATCACAGAGCCTCGGGATCAAAATAAATCGACATCTGGGCTGGCCAGCGACATTACGGCGATCGGGCTTCACCAGCCTTGGTTGACCCGGAGATACGCTGGATTCCCTCTCATTTTTCTTGGATCTTTAAAAATTAAATGGCACCTCTCCCTCAGTGCGCCGCTCCCCAGGGCGCCAGGACTCTCACGGAAGAGAAACTGGGGGGGGGCGGGGGTGGGGGCTCCGCCAGCCTCCAGGGCGCGGGGGTGTGAGGAGGCTGCGCGTCCTGCTGAGCGGCTGCTGGAGGGAGGGCCGGTAGTGCCAAGTTTGCTCGCAGTGGCTGAGATAGTGGTGGGTTCGAGGAGAAGGTGGGGACACATGACAAGATAAGTCATCCTAGGCACACGAACAAGAGCTCACCGAGTAAACGCTAGCTGTGCTAAGGGTCGTAAACTTGTGAGGGGAGTTCTTTAAAACTGTATTTTACAGGTGAGGAAACTGAGGCACGGGGAGATGGATCGCATGGCTCACACAAGGGCATATTGCCAGCAAATGGGCGCCCTAATGCTCTCATTCAAGTATCTAACCAATGGCGCCTGAGGCCCCGCGAGCAATCCTTGCGGGGGTGGGGGGGCTGAGGAGTTGGGGTGGGGGTGAAGTCTGGAACTTCCTGGACCCGTGGGACAATTCTAGAATGAGATCTCTCCTGGCACTTGGTCGAGGGCTTGAATCGAACCCTCTACTAAAAGTTATACCATTCAACTCTCTCCTCAAAAGTTTGGCTCAAAGAACACCTAGGCTCTCCTAGTGGCAACAGGGGCGGGCGTGGGGGAGCAGGGGCGGGCTGCATGTTCCCTTCCCCTCCCCCATTCTCCTCCTCCCACTTGCTGGAAGATTCGAAGACACTTTTGTTTTTTCCTCTCCAAGTGTGAGATGCTGGGGGCAGCCACCCCTTCACAGACTCCTCTTCCTCTTCCTCGCTGTGGCGGTGGGGTGGGGTGTCGTGGGGCGCTGAGGCTCAGCGTCCACGTGACGCGCGCGCTGTTTTCTTGGCCTAGCGTGCAGATAGGTTGGTGGAAAAGTTGGGGGCCAGACACTTGCAAGAGCAGACAGACACTGGCAAGCAGAAGCGAGGCCGCGGGGTGGAGCAGAGTCCCAGAACCGAGGTCAGGGTGTGTGACCTCCTAGTGCCCACAGCCTCCCCTCCTGGACGCCGCTGTCTGTGAAAGGGCTTTAAGGAGTGTGCTCAGCTTAAGAAAACCCAACCAACCTAAAGGATCCGTCTAATCGTCTAATCGCGCCCCTGCGACGACAGGAGGGAGCCTTTGCGCGAAGCAGACAAGAGGGGGCGCTGCTTCCAATACATTCCTCCTACCAAGGGCCTTCCCTCCAGGTTCCCCAGGCACGGACCCCATCTTGGCTGTTCGCATGGTCCAGCCATTCTGTCCTGCTCACTGTCTCAGGACATCACTCACAGGACTCTCCAAGAGGTTGGCCAGGGAGGCCTAACAGCTGCATCCCAGGAACCACCCCGACCCCCCCACCCCACCCCGACCCCGACCCCACCCCTACGACCCGGCCAGGCCCAAGACAATCGACTTCTCTGGAGTTAAAAAGGACCCGGGTGACAGTCTTTAGGAAGAGGCGCCAGCAGTGCAAGCGCCACAGCAAAGGGGGAGGCGGCGGAGGTAACCGGGAGGGCTGAGAAAGAGTTCGGGGACCCTGGTGGTTCTGACCAATGTAAAATGTGTTCTGGGCCAGGGGCGGGTGATAGAACACACCTGGCGCTACGAACTAAGAGGCACCAATGGGAGACGCTGAAACCTGTCTCTGGACTGTGACCTGGCAACTCACTAAAGGCCACGCTCCCTGTGAGGGCTGAGCACTCTCCCTGGTGGGGTGGACCAGCAAGGATGCACCCCGTGGGCATCAGGGTGCATCAGAGTTTGGACGGGCTTGGCACCAGCCAGCCTGGCCCTCTCCTTTCCTTCCCACCAGGATGGTGCTCTTCTCTAAGAGGTCCAGGGAGACCTGGGAGAGGATGTGCAGGAGGAGCAGGCTTTCCCAGCAGACTGAAAGCAGAGTCTCACTTGACTTTTCCTCAGACTATAATGCAAGTTCACCAGCAGGGACTGTTGTCACTGGGGTGAACTTGGGGGCATACGAGGTCTCTTCCATTGTCTCTGCTTCAGGGTTCCCCTCCATCTTGCAGAACCCACCAACTAGGCCCCAGAAGTGTTTCTGTGAGTCTGGGAGGAAGGCAGAAGAAAGGACTAGGGGCTGTGAGCAGATCCCAAATCTCTCTGAGCATGAAGAAGCAATCACAGGACGCAGGAATTCGAAATAGGGAGGAGAACATCAAGTTATTTATTTCTAGAGAAGGTAACAAGTCAGGGGGCTGGGTACACACATGTCTTTGGAGAGGACAAGAATCGCGGGTTTTATTCCATTTGTACACATTTACAGCAAGATTAAGTCACACCTTTCAACAATGTTTTTATTCAACAATCACATAACGACTTTTCTTTTTTCTTTCAAGTTACCTCATCATTTAATTGATGCTAAGAGAAGAGAAGAAGATAAACCACAGAAGGTGTGGGTAGAGAATAGTCTCAGGTCTCAGTCAGCCTGTGTGTGTGTGTGTGTGTGTGTGTGTGTGTGTGTGTGAACTATGATTACAAAACCTTTGGCTGTCTGTATAACTCACATTCATTGTGATCATTACAATTTCCCATAAATTAGCGATATAAACAAACATATGGAGACCGCCGATAAACAAATAAAAAACAATATAAAAGACAACATTTTGCAGCAACTATTATAACAGTGTAGGTTACAGTTTGGAGAAACTTCTTAACAAGTCATGTAGCCAGCACAGAAGTGTTTTGTTTGTTTGTGTTTTAAATATATAAACTTGTTTGCATAAGCTACCTTTAAATCCAGGACAGGAGGTTTGAGGTGGAAGGAAGTTTCTTTCCTGGGAATGATAGAAAATGAAAATCTACACATGTGAAGGCGGGGAGGGGAGGGTATGCATGCACACTGGGGTCACTACCTTGTAGACCAAACCTTCTGAATTCCAGTGGTCAAGATTCTGAAGAAATGGGGAATCATTGTAAGAGCCCCCATGCCACCCCCACCCCCACCCTCATTCTCTATTCCTGGTAGAAAGGCTTTGCTGGTTGCTGGTGGGGAAAGAAATTCACAGGAGGGTTATTTGTTTGTGTTTTAGCAGCGGTTGCCATGAAGGAGAAGGAAGTATCAACAACAGCTTGGCTGCAGCTAGCTTTAGGGCCCCAGATCCCTGCATGAGAACATTGGAAGCTTGAGGAGTTCCCACAGAAGCTCAGCCAGGTGACCCAGCTTGGGTTGATTGGGTGTGTGTGTGGGGGGGGAGAGTCTCAGTAGTGTCAGGCAATACACAAGCATGGGTGTGGGGTACATATACCTGCACACCCTCTGCAGTCTTCTCTCATGCACCTCAGCTTGAGCAAGGGGCCTGCCAACCTCTGCACACCTCACCAAGCCCTGATGTCCCCAGGTTGCTCTTGTTTTTCCCTTGGGAGGACTTAGCCCTAAAGTTATCTGTTGGTGGTGTGTGTGTGTGTGTGTGTGTGTGTGTGTGTTTCAAAGAAGTTTGATTTCATCTCTTTAGAAACGGTTTGAAACTAACAGGGCAGGGGGAGCTGGACAGAGAGGAGAACAAATCGCTGACAAAGAACCTTTTACGTTTCATAAGCGTTGTTAGGACAACGAGCAGGAATGTCTCAGATAATAACTCCCACTTCAAAGATTTCTCAGCTCAATAGAAAGCGGACCATCCTTTTTATTCAGCCACAAGGACTGGCACTAAAGAAGACTCCACTGTTTGATTTTTTTCCCGCCATGTTTATTTTTCCCCTATTCACTGGGGTACTTGGATAAAATAAACAACAAGACAATTAAGGGAACATGGACTTCTAACTTTCCTGCCATCTTCCCATCCCCTTGGCCTTGGGCTCTTGAATTCATCCCAGGGCCAGCCTAGGCCTGCAAGGTCCCACACCACACACCCAGTGCTGGAGAAACACGTTTGGGAACTGTAAGGGACTTCTGGGATGGAGAGACACAACAGGCTGGGCTGAGAGCCCAGGCCAAGGAGATGTCTGGAGGGAAGTCCGATCCCGCAGACTCCTCCATGGGGGGCTTCCCACCCTCACCCCCTCAATGCCCACCCCCATCTCCATCAAAGTCAGATCTCCCCCTGCCTCGATGGAGATTCTGACAGTATTCTGGGCAAAATCGAGCTGGAGGTGCCCATGGGAGAAACTTCTGAGCTTGCCCGAAAGGAATGTGTTTCTGACCCTGGAGCCTCTTGGGGGAGCAGTCCCGAGGCGAGGCTCAGAGCAGAGTCCAGCTCCTCCCTCTCCTGAAAGCATCCCGGACGCCCAGGCTCCCCACTTCGGGGCTCAGAGGGAACCCCTAAACGCAGGCGAGGCAGGTCTGAGGGAGGAAGTATATACTGGAGATCGCAGTGCCAGTATTCAATGGCGTGATGGCAAAGGTCAGCGCAAATGTATCTTAATAGAGTGTCTGCCGAGAAGTGTGCCGCCTTTGAAGCGGCCGCTCCCCGCGCGCATTTCCATGGCGAGCCTAACGCGGCATGCTGATGCACCGTCAAACTCACACTTTCAACCCCAAAACCCGACTCTTTGAACAACCCGGGCTTGATTAGACCTTTCTCCTTTTCTTTCCCCTTTACAAACCATTTCCTCGCCTTTAGAAATTCGCCATCAAACCCAAATGCGCCCTCTGATCACCGCAGAAAGCAGAAACAAAGGGGGCCGAGCAGTGATTCAAGCGGCCCTTTTCTTCTCTCGCATTATTATCCATTTTTATTATGATCGGGAACAAGTGCCCATTCGCGTGGGTTTTGTTTACCGGAAATTAAATGAAAATGATTTAGTCCGCGTCAAACAAAAATATATACTTGTATACACAAGAAAAAGGCCTCTTAGACGTAAATATTATGTCCGTAATGAAAAGCCTGGACGGGCTCCAGGCTCGGCCTTTCAGGATTTCAGTGCGACTTGCGCATTGCCATAGAAATCCTAACTTACCGTGAAGATGCACCGTGGCGAAGAAACACTGCTTTGTGAGCGGGCCCTTTGATGTCGCAGGCGCGAGATGCGGGCGCTCAGCTGCGCTCGGCGAGATTACCTAGCGAGCAACGCGGTGGACATCTGTAACAAGCAAATGAAAAATTAAAGGCGATTAGTGACCGGCCAAACATTTTATTTTATTTCATTACTTTGGATGGGGTGGAAAGTAAAACGGGGTGGGGGTGGGGGTGGCTAGAACAGAAGCGAAAAGTGAGTACTGTCTGATAAAGGGCGAACTTTGGAGAGCCCAGTGGACGAAACAAGTTCCCAGGCTGCCCTCTGCACCTTGGCAGTAGGGTGGGGGGTAGGCGTTGGGAACAGTTTGAGGATGCCAGTGGCCCAAGCTGGGTCAGGCAGCCTCGGGGCCTCTCTTGTCCTGGGATGGCAGTGCCCCTTCCACCAAGTCTGGATTCTCCACGGATGTGCTGGAGGATTCCGCTTTTGCTCTGGGGTCACGGAATCGCTCCACTCCAGTTAGGACGTTGTTTTTCTGATAGGAGTTGCCTGGCTTCAAAGCAAGACTGAGATCTGCCTAAGGGTGTCTGCAAAGGTGTTGGGGAGCTAGGGGGGGAGGGTTAGAAGAAAAACCAACAGAGTCTCTCTCTCTTTCTACCCCCCTCCCCCCGTGGGTTCAGCTTTTAAAATTGAACTCATCAGGGGGCTCCCCCTACCAGATGGAGGGGTTGTATCTCCCTCAGTTAGCTTGCCTCCATCGTCTTAGGGCCTGGGATAGGCCTGCCAAAACTTTCCTTTTCTTTCTCTGAGAGCATTTGGGGGCAGTCCACTCCCTGGAAAGAGAGAGACCGGGAAACTGGCCCTGGCCTCCCCACCCCCAACAATTGCAAAGTCTTCTCCCACCAACATCTAGTTCCTTATCTGGGCACTTCACACCTAGCACACCCAATACACATTCAGTGTAGAATCGTTGAACGTTTGCCTCCACAGCATTTATTATTCCAGTTCATTACTTATATACACGCCCTTCATAATGTAAGATCAATATGCGATTTTGACAGACTTTTACAGAATCCACACAGGACGGGATTCACCCTGACTTGGTAGCCTGAGCCAGATGACCCCTTTGCTGTGGAGCCGGTGGTGCAGTGACGTCATGATATGTTTCTCCCACCCCCAGGCCTTGTGCATGCACACTCTTCCACAGGCAGCAAGGATAGGGGGAGAGAAGGGGGTGGCTGATCAATAGAGCCGCCCAGCATTGCCCTCTTGCCTCTTTGTTTGTATTTCCGGTGGGGTGGTCATCCCTATCCCACTTGGACGATGTACAGGACGCCTGCGAACGGACCCGAAGACAGGCGTGTGTGTCTGCACCAGTCATTGGGGGAAGGCGCGCCTGTGCCCTGCGGGGGAGAAGGCTTATCTCCTTTACAGGCGTCCTGCGGGGCGGGCGGTGGTGGTGGTGGTGGGGATCTTTTCTACCTGAGAGTGGTGTGCTTTAGTTTCTAGGGTAACTGGAGAGAAAGAACGCGGTGGCATAAACAAGGGAAGGAACAGGGGACAAGGAAGCAGCTCTGGAATTCCTTCTGCCACCTTGGCCCGCTGGGAACTTCTGCGGAAGGGATGGCTGGAGGCTTTCGCAGCGCAATGGCAGCTGGGAAGGGCGTGGGGGTGGGAACTTGAGTAGCTCTGGTCTCGAGCCTGCGTAGCAGGAGCGAACTTGGTACCCTGGCTTGTGCAGTTGCCAGGATTGGGCAAGCATTCTACACACACACACACACACACACACACACACACACACACACACACCTTACACATGCGCACGCACGCATTTCCTTTCAGACTGGTTTCATACAACAGGCCTGGCCTGTGTGTCAGGCATGTGGGATTGTGAGTAGATACGTGGTTGCAGAATAAATATCGGCGTCATATCTACGTATTTTTTAAAACAATCGATATTGTCCCATCACATTAGGGGAGCTTCATCCGTTAGAAATACTGGTGGAATCTCTCCATCCTTTCCTTCCTCTCTCCCCTCCTGTCCGCCCGCCCTCCTCTTTTCCCCCTGGGGTCTCCAAGCCTCAGTAACCTGGCTCAGGCTTGCAGTCTGTGGATGAGGACGCAGTCGCCCCAGAGGCAGCTCTAAGACCTGAGGTGGCAGCAGCGGCCGGGCCAGGTGGTGGCGCGGGACTGGGGCACGCGGCGGGGGCGGCAGTGGCGGAGCCAGTCCCCTGACACACGTACCATTCGCTCAGGTCGGCGCCACGCGCCGCCGCGGCCGCCGCGGAGGAGGAGGAGGAAGAGTAGGAGGAAGAAGCCGCCGCCGGGGGTTCGCGGCCGCAGTCTGAGGAGGGCGACACGAGCGCGGACGGCGTGGACGAGTCGTAGCCCGAGCTGGGGGGCGGCGGCGAGCGCCCATGCACTTTCATGTGCTTGCGGAGTGAACTGGGGTGCGTGTAGCATTTGTCGCAGCCGCGCACCTTGCAAGTGTACGGCTTGTCGCTCGTGTGAACGTGAGAGTGCTTCTTTCGGTCGCTGCTGTTGGCGAAGCGCCGCTCACAGCCCTCGAACTCGCACCGGAAGGGCTTCTCGCCTGGTAGAGGCAACAGGGAGACGTTAGTGCCCGCGGAGGGCCGGGCCCGCGCCAGCCTCGCCGCCAGCCCCTCCTTTGGCTCCCTTGCTCCGCACAGAAGGCGCTCCGCAACCAACCACCCCTTTCCTGCGCGGCCCAGGTCGGGCATCCGCTTGCCCGCGCTCAGGGCGACCCCGGGGCGACCCCACCTCACTCCCCACCCTCTGGGCCGGGCCCGACGCGGAGCGCGCGGAGGAGGAACGACAGTGACTCCATTTTACCGGAGTTTCCATCCTCGAAAAATCCTGACTCTCCAGGGTTTCTTTTTGTCCGAATGTTCTGAGTCACCAGAAGCAAGTGGCCGAGGGAGCTGGCCCCGGCTCGGGATAAGGGAGCCCGATGCCCAGAAAGTCTCTGCTCCTACCGCCATCCTCCCACCGCAAGTGCTCCCGCCCCTCCCCCTGGCCCCCACCTACACATGGCCACTGGGCCCCAATGGCGTCCACAAAACTGGGGTTGGGGCTAACGCCCAGGCGATGGGAGAGTTTACGGATGTACAGTGGATGCACACGGCGTGTGCACAACGTGGCTTCATTCTGAGCCTTGATTCACTTCTGGGATTCGCTTTCCGGGGAACGGAGCACACACCCCACCCCACCCCCGCCCCTTTGCGGCTACTCCCTGAGGACAAACAGTTCGCAGCATCCTTCCCATCTGGCCTACCCTGCCCCGAGCCCTCAGGATGGGATAGGAGCTCCGGCCGCAGGAGAGGAGGCTGCGCGTACGCAGGCAGCCAGCCCCCGACTGCCTGCCCCGCGCCTCTCCCGCCCAGGCAGGGGCTGATGCCGGCCTCCACCAGGGCGCCCCCGAGCGGGGCTTCGCTTGGGCCTGGCCCCGCGGCTGTGTGCGTCCGAGGCCGAGCTGGCCGCCAAAGAGGCCCGCCCGCCCGCTGCTGGGTCTGCGGCTGCGACGCCCCGAGAACCGAGCGGCGGCGGGAGCGCACCTTAGCGGGGACCCACTGGCCGAGGACCGCCCTCCCGGCAGGCGCCAGCCGCCGACGCGGTCCACCAGCTGGGCGAGCAGGACCGGACGCCGGGCCCTGGGAGCGCGGGTTCCCGCCGGCGGAGGGGGAGGCGCCTGGCAGCGGTAAACAAATGGCTTCCGCGCGGCGCCCTGGGCGGACGTGGGAAGGGGCTGCAGAGAAAGAGGCGCTCGCTCAGGGGCTGGTGGCTTGGGCCACTCTTTCGCTCGCCGCGTCCTGGCAAGCGGGCGCTTTGGGGCGGGCGAAGACTCCGGGGGCCAACCCAGCCCCAGTCCCGGAGTCCAGCGAGGCTCGGAGGTCTGCTCGCTAGGCGCCCCTGCGCGCCCGCCTCGGAAGCCAGCCGCTCCCGCGTCTCCCTGGGCAGCCACCCGGGTCCCCCACCCCGTAACCGGTTGCCATCTACTGTTTCTCGAGACAGAGGGGCAACGATGTCGACTCAATCGTCGTTCTCTCCCTGCAGAACTCTGCCAGCGCCTACAAAAAGCAACTGTCTTCTTCTCTTTCTTTCTGAACACACACACACACACACACACACACACGCACACGCAGTGCGATGCCTAGCTTGGAAAATAAAAGAAAGTTCTGCTAAGACAACAAGAAGAATGGAACGTGACACCACGCCTTAAACATTACCAACAAAAAAAATTCCCTCAACACTCTAATCCCATTTTCTTGAGAGAGGAAACCAGGGTTTGGGGGCAAACGAGGAGCAGAGGCGACAGAAGCAGGGAGCTGGGGGGACACGGGGCCTCCGGGAGGCGAGGTGAGGCTGCGCCCGGGCTCTGGAGGCCCCTCCCGAGCTGCAGGAGGTGCCCAGGCCCTCCTCACCCTCGCAATCCGTGGCACCCCGTCTCCACACCTCGCCCCTCGAGGCCTGGGCACGGAGCCCGGGGTGGGGAGGTGGGGGGTCGCTGTGGAGCGGCTCTGGCGAACCTCGTGGGGGGGGGGGGGCGAGCTAGGGACAGGGGCCCGGGCCTGGGGCTTGGTCGCTCAGGCCTGGAGTCTGCTCCCCCAAGCTCGGCCGCCCTCTCGGGCCTCCTTCCCCCAGCCGCGCCGCCCCGCTAGTCGGACAAAGTTGAAAAGCGCCGGGACATCCTGGCCAGCGCCATTTTCGCTCACTTGTGGCTGGGCCAGGGTGTCAGGGCGCCTCCTCTCCGCCTGGGTCTCCCTCGCGGCAGGGAGTCCCAGCCCGGCCTCCCTCTCGCCGCCGCCGGCCGAGGTGGGAAGAGGAGGCCCTAGCCTGGCGGTGGGTAGCGGTGGCCCGCCGGCGCCTCCGTTTCGGGGGCACCATTGTTCGGGGGCTCGCGGCGAGCGCCACAAAATGAAACCTATCCGCCCACTGGGCCTGGGGCAGCTGCCTCCGAAGCCGGATCTGGGACTCAGAGACCAGAGAAAGGAGCATCTCAACTCCTAAGAAATCTGCTCCTGTTCGCCGCTTCCCGGACTCGAAGAAATGAAACGCCATTAATATTTGAAAAGGCAATTATTTTCCCGTTGAATCGAGAACTGTCTTCATGAATAATTTGTAGCGAGGTTTATTGCCATTTGAGAAACATTTTGTTGGAGTTCCACCTCACCCACCCACCCTTAGGGGTGGGAGTAACTCTGGAACAGGCTCGGAGGCTCGGTAGTTTCTCTTTTCTTTCTTTCTTTCTTTCTTTTAAAGTAATGACTCAGGACCTCCAGTGGAAAGGACGCACTTAGAATCCTGTCCTGAATAGACGCAAACCTGAGCCAGCCCGGGCGCACTGAACTTGCTTCTCTGCTGTAGGTCGATTTAACTAAGAATTTAACCATTTTCTGCTTCACAGACTTCAAACAGTGGGCCGGCAAAGAGCAGTAAAAGTTTGTTTGCTTAAAACCTCCCTGTCATTAAGGATGTCTTCTCCAGCTCGGGGCTGTGCGTCTATCTTAGCTGCGCTGACAGATAACCCCTGGAATAATGGGCCTGCGAGTCAGGATCGGGGTCCTGCCTACTCCCCGCACACAGCCCCCCAGTAGAATAAAACTCTGGGGGCCGCCTGATGTCTGCGAGTGGGCGTGGGGGGAGATGGAAAGAGTCCAGAAAAAACGCCCAACCCTTGCAAGATAGGTTCCGAAAGAAAAGTACGAGACTCCACGTGGACTTTGGCCTGAGAGCCTCCGTCTGAGCCAGAGTATCTTGGCGGGTCATAGGCCCCAAGCAGGCAGTTTGAGGGAATTTAGCAAGCACACCCCCCTCCACCACGGCTGTAGCAGCCTGAGGGCAGCTCTTTGTAACAACTGCCGCTGAGTTGCCAGCCAGAATGGAAGTGAGTGAGGCTGGGAGCTGTGGAGTAGAAACGGGACGTCAATCGCACTGGATTTCATCATCTGGTCCCCCTGCGCCCCCAGTTCTCCTCCCCCAGTCCAAAATGAGGGAGGAGGGAAGATGTCGACTTTTTAAACTGGGGTGGGGTGGGGTGGGGGGAGGGGACAAGGCATTCCCAGCTAAAGAGAGTACAAAGGTCAGCTGCTAAACTAATTAATGAAACTTCACAGGCTGTTCTGGAGAGTGTGAAAACTTTCTCCTTGCAATTACATTCGTTAGAGACGCTTCCGGCCAGAGCAGTTCACCTTTTCAGGCCCTTGCACAAGGCTCTTGTTCTCTCTGCTAACTAAAACTAACAGATGTGGTTGACACATGTCCCCATTTTACTTAACAGCTCTGTAAATGACATTTAAGGCGGATTGGTCCCGTTGGGTCTCTGCTACGGCGAGAAGAAGGGCTCTTCAAAGGTCCTAAGTGCTGGGCTAGCAAGACTCCCAAATGGCCAAGTTGAGCCTGTCCAGACACCTCAATCCAAAAGAAGGCAGGAAGTCGCTGATGACTACGCCATCCAGGTGTCCCTCAGTGAGTAATACTGACAGATGGACTTCTACCCGCCTGATCCCCAAGAGGGAACCCAAAGTCCTAAGACACAAATTATATGGTCCTTTGCCTTAAAGCAAGCTCCATGAGCAAGACACACGTGTGTGCACACACGATACCCAGTCATGATCATTCTCTTCCCGCAGATCCCGCCCCCCACTAGCCTCCCACCCTACACACAGCCTCTTCTGGGAAACTTCTGGGAGTCTAAGAATAGAAGCGCATAATTAATATTTTATGGCCTTGGCACAGAGTAACAAACCCAACACCGCCCCAACCCCCTACACACACACACACACACACACACACACACATATCCCATTAGGATTTAGGAAAATCCAGTCCCGACGGCCCATAATAGGCCGCCTTCTTCCCCCAAGGGTCCGCCGGAGACAGACAGTGCCGAATACTGACCTGTGTGCGTCCGTTTGTGTATTTTGAGATTTTCTGATCTAGCAAAAACCTTCCCACACCCCGGGAAAGGACAAGGGAAGGGCTTCTCGCCCGTGTGCACGCGGATGTGATTTACAAGTTTGTATTTGGCTTTGAAGGGCTTGCCCTGGCGCGGACACTCCTCCCAGAAGCAGATGTGGTTGGCCTGCTCTGGGCCGCCGACGTGCTCCACGGTGACGTGTGTGACCAGCTCGTGCATGGTGCTGAAAGTTTTGGAACAGAGGCCAGGGGACGCAAGGCCATCGGCCGCCAACCACTTGCAGATGAGCTCCTGTTTGATGGGCTGGCGCATGTAGCGGAAGAAGGCGCCAGGGCCGTGCGGCGCCGCCAGGTTCATGGTCAGGTTCATGCCCCCGTAGCCGTGAAGGGCGGCTGCAGATACCAGGGCGTCGCTGCGGACTGCGGGCCCGGACGAGAAGGGCTCGGGCCGCGCATACATGTCTCCAGGGAGCCCCAGATGGAGGAGGCCATTCAAAGGACTGCTGGGGGAGGCCCGGGGAGACTGCTCAGGAAGACCCAGGAACACCGAGGGGCCGGCGACAGCGGCGGCGAGCTGGGGGCCATGGTGTCCGGAGCTGCTACCTGTTGTCGAGACAAATAGCGCGCGTGAGCAGGAGTCGCGTGGGCTGCGCGCTCCACCCCTCCTAAGAAATCTGCTCCTGTTCGCCGCTTCCCG